GGCAGGGGCGCTTGTGGTACGTAAAATCATACCATTTCTTCCATTTTAGTTGCTACTAAGCTACAGTGCTTCTAAGTTCTACATGTGCTAATTGGCCCCATTGAGTTCCACTGTGTCTTACTGGGATGAGTGGAAATTAATCACTGTGGTAATCAACATTTTGCCACAAGTGTTGTCAGCAGAGCATAACTTGAATCCTGAATATTCCTTTAACATCCTCTAAAAGAATCCTCTTTAAGACACCGTTTTTTAATTAATAGTCCTGGCTAATGCACCCATTAATTATTGTACCATATTATTAATTGTAGATTGAACAATGCAAAGTGATGGCATCCAAGAAGAAACCCTTGTGGCTGCAGTTCAAACGAGCCGACCCCACCACCTTGTCAAGTGACACAATTGGAATCATCTTTAAAGACGGGGATGACCTTCGTCAGGATATGCTGATATTACAAGTAGACATCATTTAAATGCATGCTAGTAGTCATGACCAACATTATCAGTGCTGTCTTTCAAATAGGCCATTTTTTCCTCTCAGATTTTACTGATAATGGAGTCTATTTGGGAGCTGGAGTCCTTGGATCTTTCCTTGTTACCATATGGATGTATTTCCACTGGAAATAAAATTGGTAATTGTGGTTGATGTGTTTTTTAAAGTTATTAAACAACAGCAATTAAAAATGTAAATGCACACCACACTGCTATGAGTCAAATATCATAACGTATTGAATTCCTGATGCTCCTCTTCTAGGAATGATTGAAATAGTGAAAGATGCCACTACTATTGCTAACATTCAGCAAAGTACTGTCGGGAACACCGGAGCTTTTAAAGATGAGATCCTCAGCCAGTGGCTTTGTGAAAAGTGTGTGAATGAGGACAAGGTATGTTATTTCCATTTATACTGTTGAATGTGCTGAAGAGGAAGGAAACCTCTCACTTCCTGGTGCATTAGTGTCTTTGTTTGAGGGCGTTTGCCTTTGTGGAGACCAAACACAGCACCTACACGTCATTGTGCTATTTTTAAACAGTCTCTCTTGACTTTTGTACCATCGTCTGCGGGTTTGGTCAAGCTCATCTTCTGATAAGGGGGTTAGGTCATACGTCAGACGTTTGCTTGATGCAAATGTGAAAAAGGTCAGGCATTGGTGATATGTCATATTTGTGAATTTTTCCATTCCACACCGCCTCTTCAGCACCAGCAGGCTGTTGAACGCTTTGTGTTCTCTTGTGGAGGGTATTGCGTGGCAACTTATGTCCTGGGCATCGGTGATCGTCACAATGACAACATAATGATTACAGAGACGGGTAATTATTGTTATTACTGGAACCTCTGCTGCCTCTACTGCTGTTAAAGGAATATTCCAGGTCCTGTGCAAGTTAAGTTCAGTCGACAGCATTTGGGACTGTTGATTACC